AACGTTATCATCTTTATTATTACAATCATTATCATTATTATTACTATTATCATATTTCAATCATTATCTTTATTTTTTGTTTTCCTTATTCTTGTATATGTTATTGTTTTTATCATTATTATAAATGATTTCATCATAAAAATCATCATCATTTTCATGATGTTAACAATCCTATAACCTTAAAAATAGTATAGTGTGCCCTATTGATTCCCTTCAAAGAAAACGATGAGGTATAACTGTACCTTACGTGAAATTTTGGAACCAAATCTGGCAAATCACTAATAAGTATGGTGTTCATTACCGTCATGTGTATATATACATGCATACATACATTTGTATCTACATATATGTTGGTGTGTTTATATATATATATATATATATATATATATATATATATATATATATATATATATATATATATATATATATATATATATATATATATATATATATATATATATATATATATATATATATAATATATATATATATATGCATATATATATATATATTATATATATATATATATATATATATATATATATATATATATATAATATATATATCACTTTTTTGTACTTTCTTTTCTTAATAGCACTAGTCTTGTTGCTATGATGAACATCATCATTGTAATTACCAAGTGTGTTGTTGCTTCGTATAATATATATATAATATATATATATATATATATATATATATATACATATGTAAATTACTACTCTGCTACTCATGTTATTATCATCATCATTACCAGCATTATCATCATCATTGTATTTTCTTTACTGCTACTATGAAGTGTACCATTCCTGAATAATAATTTTTATTAGTTTTAGAAATATGAAACCCTAATCACGTAATATAAATAACACAAACTTCAGAAGCAACGATTATCTATTCATCAAGATAATCATGGATCTTCTCTCTATCCTTCCGCTTATCTATTTCTGTTTCCTTCTATTTGTGCTTACTTTTCTTTCCCTTTTTTTCTTCTCCATTGAAGGAAACTCAAGCTAGATTACCCCTCTAACCCCTCCCCCTCCCCACCTCCCCACCCGTGTAATCTGCAGTTGAAGAAAGACAGCTGTAAATATAACAAAGGATTACAAAAGCTCTATGGGAAGGAAGCTTTGAGAGGGAAGACTGTGCCAATTAAGACAAAGCTTCCTCACCGCCGAGAAATACACGATAAGGGGGGATTATAAGCACAAGATGAAAAGATGGATTTGGAGAGGCAGATGGAGGCGGTTGAATTGAGATTGTGAAAGGAGATCGGGTCAAGAGGGAGCTAAAAGGGAGGGAGAAAAGATGACGAAGAGGAAGACTTTTTTTTGACTTTGACACGTTTATTGAGACAAAAGTAAAATTACATCTCAAAAGGATGAGGTAACTTAGGTTATCTTCAGCCTTACTTAATAAGTCCCTGTGCGGGCTCACAGTTCATTATACTAGAGGAAGAGAGAGCGAGAAAGTGTGTGTGTGTGTGTGCGTGTGTGTGTGTAAGGCAGTGTCATTATTGAAGATGAAAAAGAGAAAGAGAGAGAGAGTGAGAGTATGTGAGAGTATGGGAGAGAGAGCGAGAAAGTGTGTGTGTGTGTGTGCGTGTGTGTGTGTAAGACGGTGTCATTATTGAAGATGAAAAAGAGAAAGAGAGAGAGAGTGAGAGTGTGTGAAAGTATGAGAGAGAGAGTGAGAAAGTGCGTGCGTGTGTGCGTGTGTGTGTGTGTGGCGGTGTCATTATTGAAGATGAAAAAGAGAAAGAGAGAGAGTGAGAGTGTGTGAGAGTATGAGAGAGAGAGCGAGAAAGTGTGTGTGTATGTGTGTGTGTGTAAGGCGGTATCATTATTGATATCATGCTCTATATCATCATTATTACTATGCTTATTGCTGTTGATATCCTTATTACCAATACAATTTTTATTATCATTTTTATTGATAGTCCGACTATCATTATCATATATATGTTATCATTGGTATCACTATCATCATTACTATTATGATTATTATCATTGTCATCATTACTATAACCTGTGAAAAAGTATGATAATAATGGTGACCGAAATACTAGGAATGGCAATGAGAGTGATAATAAAGATAGTGATGATGATAATAACAATAATAATCAAAATAATAATAATGAAGATCATAACGATAATAATGATGATAACAATGATGATAAGTATAATAATAACATATCGATAAATCTTTATCATTATCGCTAAATATATCGATAATCATAAAGATAATTAAGTGATATTGAAATCAAAATGATTTTGACGATAACAATCATAATGATGATATTCATTATCACTTTGGTAAATAATAGTAATAATAATGAAAGAAATAATGATAATAACAATAAAAAATAATACTGATAAATAAAAAACATATGATAATATTCAATTACATAATGATATTAGACCAAGTACACACACACTTATATATATATATCTATGATAGATATAAGATATGATATATATATAGTATATATATATATATATGT